AATTTGGGATCAAACTTTATCTAAAGCCTTTAAAAATTAGCCTGCCTACTTTCTTTCTTTGGATGTACTTAAGAGGAAAGTTGGGACTTTAAGCAGATACTCAGGTGATCCATGGGAGACGTAGCCTTCCTCACACTATGGATGCAGAGAACTCAAGAAAGAGATTAGAGCTTTCTGGGAGTGATATTCCTTCTATGGTTGGTAGTTTTGACTAGATCATCATGAAGATTCTTTTTAAAAATATATATATTTTATTGATTTTTTACAGAGAGGGATAGAGAGTTAGAAACATCAATTAGAGAGAAACATCGATCAGCTGCCTCCTGCACACTCCCTACTGGGTATGTGCCCGCAACCAAGGTACATGCCCTTGTCCGGAATCGAACCTGGGACCCTTGAGTCCACAGGCTGATGCTCTATCCACTGAGCCAAACCGGTTAGGACGAAGATTCCTTTTAATAGTAAGATTATATGGTATATTAAGATTTAGAGATACTTAGTTACTCCATTTTCCATTTTGTTAAATGTTTAGTCTTACTACACTAACAGAACCTATTAAAGACCTTAATGTTATATAAATATTATCTTGAGTAATCAGCTGAACAGACAATATGCTTTATTGGGCCCCCAAAAGAACTGGGTTTTAGATTGCTTGTACCAAAGATTAACCCCTTGTAAATTTCAAACAACTTTAACTTACTAGAATCTACTTCCAAATCATTTTGCTGGGGTTTTTAAATAAGACTTTAATTTTAGACTTTCTTTACATGATTATCCTGATAGAAAAAATCAAATGACAAGTGACTCTTCTTTTTTTGAATAGAGCTTTTCTTTGTCATCTTGATTCTCAATGGAAAACTGGGCAAGAGGGTATTGGGGGAGGCAGAGAAAGAATCCTCAGTTATCTGTTCAGGCATGAAGCATTTTATTTGTATTGCTGTATCTAGGATATGCTTCATTTTTCAATGAGTATTGAACTAACAGTTGAAACGCAGCAGTACCTTTGGAATAGATTGTATTTGGGTGTGGCCAGTCTGCTTGCCAAAAGTAAAATTTGTAATTAATCATCCTTGAAGACAAATAATTGAACAGTTCAGACTGATGTGATGAAAGAGCCACCGAAGTAAGCTTAATCTTGCCATTTTCTTAAAACAAGGTATACTGGTAATAATAGCTCTTGTTTCTTATGTGCCAGGAATTACCCTAGATTTTAATATATATCTTACTTAGTTCTTTTTTTTTTTTATTAAATCTTTATTGTTCAGATTACATTTGTTCCTCTTTTTTTTCCCCCCCATAACTCCCCTCCTCCCCGTTCCCGCCCCCCCCCCCCCCCCCCCCCCCCCCCCCCCGTCCCCACCCAGCAGGAATAGTCAGTCCATTCCCTTTCTATGTCCCTGATTCATTATAATCACCAGTTCATTCTGTACATCAGATTATTTATTCACTTGATTCTTAGATTCACTTGTTGATAGATGCATGTTTGTTGTTCACAATTTGTATCTTTACCTTTTTCTTCTTCCTCTTCTTAAAGGATACCTTTCAGCATTTCGTATAATACTGGTTTAGTGGTGATGAACTCCTTTAGCTTTTCCTTATCTGTGAAGCTCTTTATCTGACCTTCAATTCTGAATGATAGCTTTGCTGGATAAAGTAATCTTGGTTGTAGGTTCTTGGTATTCATCACTTTGAATATTTCTTGCCATTCCCTTCTGGCCTGCCAAGTTTCTGTTGAGAAATCAGCTGACAGTCGTATGGGTATTCCCTTGTAGGTAATTGAGTCTCTTTCTCTTGCTGCTTTTAAGATTCTCTCTTTGTCTTTTGCTCTTGGCATTTTAATTATGATGTGTCTTGGTGTGGTCCTCTTTGGATTCCTTTTGTTTGGGGTTCTCTGCGCTTCTTGGACCTGTAAGTCCATTTCTTTCACCAGGTGGGGGAAGTTTTCTGCCATTATTTCTTCAAATAGGTTTTCAATATCTTGCTGTCTCTCATCTTCTGGCACCCCTATTATTCTGATGTTGGTACGCTTGAAGCTGTCCCAGAGGCTCCTTACACTATCTTCGTATTTTCGGATTCTTTTTTCATTTTGCTTTTCCGGTTGGGTGTTTTTTGCTTCTTCGCATTTCAAATCTTTGACTTGATTCTTGCGCTCCTCTGGTCTGCTATTGGGTGTCTGTATAATATTCTTTATTTCAGTCCGTGTATGCTTAATTTCTAGTTGGTTCTTTATCATAACATCGAGGGACTCATTAGTTTTCGTGAGTCTCTCCTCAAGTTTATTGGCAGCTTCTAGCACATTTTTGCAAGCCCTCAAAATTGCGATTTTTAGCTCTATATCCTCCATTTCTGTCATGTTTTTTTGTCTCCGCATTTTTTATGCTTTCTTGGTGCACCCCCTAGTGGTCTTTGTGCGCAGTCTTGTTCTAGTTGAGCCTTGATTGTTGTAGTTAATACTAGAGGGATTTGACCACCAGGCCGACTGGCTGTGTGAATCAGCTGTGTCTGCCGCGGAAAACTTCTGTCCTCTGGGGAGGTGCTAATCTAGCCTTTGCCTGAGGCGATCCGGCAAATGGCTCTGCGCAGGGCTTGGGCGGGGCGGGCTCAACAGGGCGGGCGGAGGGAGCCGTTATGGTGCCCTCAGTCCTGTTCCCAGAGGCTCTGCTTCTCAGAACCCCCGGAACCGCTGCAAACCTCGGAGGGAAAGCTGCCTTCCAACTGATGCCAGACACTCCCGCTTCTCCCGTTTGGGTCCGAGTCCCCAGCGATTCGCCCGTATCTGGAGCTCAGAGTCTGAGACTCCCCCCTGACCGAAAACGACAACCGCGCTCTCAGCCACCAGCCCGCTTTGCGCGCGCACCTCCGCACCTGAGTTTTTTCCACACTGCGCCTCCTCTGAGCCTCGGTGTGCTGTTATTTTTCCTTCTAGTTGAAGAGTCTCTCCTCAGCCAGCCTTCCTGTGGTTCTGGGTGATGTCCGTTCCGTCTTTTAGTTGTATTTTTGAAGTGGTTGTTTGCGGCAGCAGTCTCCGGTGTTTACCTATGCCGCCATCTTGCTTGGAATGATACTTAGTTCTTCAGTAGCTCTGTGATTAAAGTGATGTTAAACTCATTTTATAGACTGAGAAGAATAATTCTGCTAATATTACACAACTGTTTAGTGACAAAGTCAGGGCTGTTAAATTCCAAAACCTATACTCTTTCCACAGTGCTGCCAACCTACCTGCTTTATTTTTCTAAGTGACTATTAAAAAATATCCATAGGCAAGGGTAAATCTTGATGTGTAGTCAGGAAACAAAGTAGGGAAAATATGTGAAGAATTGTGCTTATATTATAAAAAAACCTCCAGAAAATAAATGAGAATATTGGAAATTGAGGAAAAGGGTTGGAACAAAATAGTTTTGTTTTAAAATAACTTTAAAAAATTGAGCTAACTTTATATTTAATAGAAAATAGTACAGTTGTCAGAACCGGAAAATAACATTGGTGTAATATTCACTAAATTATAGACCCTATTAGAAATTTACCAGTTTTTTCACTAATGCTTTTTCTGTTCCTGGTTATTTATGATCTAACATTGCATTTAGCTGTTATTTCTCCTTAGTCTATTCTAGTCTGTAGTAGTTCTTCAGTTTTTCCTTGGTTTTCATGATTTTGACACGTTTGAAGAGTACTGATCAATTTTTTTTTATAGAATATCATTCAATTTGAATTTCATATGATTTTCACACATCATAAAATATTTTTTTATCATTTAAAAATATAACATCCATTCTTAGCTTGTGGGTTATACAAAAAGCAGGTTGCATGACAAATTTGGTTTGCAGGCCATAGTTGGTCAATCCGTTTTATATGATAAATTTTTAAAATATAATACATTGTTTTAATATAGCAGCAGTCTTGCATATGAATAATTTTATATAGATTTATAGCTACATGATGTATATCAATATTTTATAGTGATTGATCATTCTAAAGTGTTTTTACATAAATTATCTCAACTTAAGAGTAAACATGCAAGACAAGCATTAGTTCCATTTTATGGTGAGAAAAGTAATGCATAGAGAAGAAAAATGAACTACCCAATGACAGAGCCAAGCCTGATTATATTCTGCACTCTTTTATCCATAACATGGTACAGTTTTAACTTCCATAATTAGAGCATCATGCCACTATATCTTTAATACTCGATTGTTGCTAGAAGGCTTAGAGTTCAGTCCTATAAATAAAGATAATAATAATACATACTTATTTTTACTTTAATACTATATTCTGCTGTCTAGCTATTTTAATATTAATTAGTATTTTGACAAAAGCTAAACATAGGAGGTGAAGAGTATGTGCTACAAAGTTTGGTAAATATTTGGCAGCTGAATGGTACAGTCATTTATATAATATATTTCTTTTCCAAATATTCAAAGAAAATAGTTAATTTCATTTTTAGATGTTCACCATGAAAATAAACAAGAAAAAACCCTTCCCCCCCATCATTTGTGTTCAGGCATAACTAATATTTTAATTTATCTACTAAGTTTTATTCAAATTTTAAACTGGAGATGTTGAGGACATTTTATATAATAATATACTTTTTGGATTGCTTCCCTATCAGGTGGTTGAAGATTATGCTGGAAGATGGCAAGTCCCTTTGCCGCAACTTCAAGTTCTTCAGACTGCACTTTCCTGTTTTACATCAGCCAGTGCATCATTCCCAGATGAATGTGAGCACGTACAATATGTGTTAAGTAGCCTTGCCTTGTAAGTACTCGTTATTACTTATAAAAATATTATTTATCACGGTGTATTTGAAAATTGATTTTTGATTATTTTCTTTGTGGAAGACACCTTTCCTAAAGTCTTCCCTCAAAAAGAAATTTCCATTTATTTATTTAACTATGTTTAATTTTGAACAATTAACCACAATTTTACATTTAGTTTTACAGTTAAATGGAATTGTTATATAGATTCTTACGTCACTATCAGCACTTTCCTTTTTCTTCCCCTTTCCCTTTTAATTCCTTAGATTGCCTTGGGAAGCTGTAATGGTAACTCCCAGAATACAGCAATTAAGGCCATCATAATTAGCAGAGGGACCTTAAATCAGCCAGAAAAAATGTTAGGAAACTCATGGTTTTTAAAAATACTTGTAGAGGGCTTTGAGTTAAAGATCAGACTCAGGCCTTGCGTTTATCATTTTTACCCTTCTAGATCCTACTAAAATTATAGTAAAGAAGTAAAAGAGAAATATAGTGAAAGGAAAAGAGAGGAGAGTCATCAGTGAATGAAAGATTTCAATTGTCTGAGGGGCAGAAAACAGATAGATGAGTGGTCATTGAAACATGGCAGAAAAAGTCACAACTTAATTTGTTTTTTGTGTGCCTCAAATTGCACTACATCACAAGGGTAGGTTTTGAAATATTTATCAACATTATAAAACACAGTAGAAAATATGAGTACTTCACATAGAAGAGGTACTATTTTGTGAAACTCTTACTGTTTTATATATTATTTTTGTGTACAGTCATGCATCACATAATGATGTTTTGGTCAGTGACAGAGCCACATGTATGATGGTAGTCCCATAATATTATAATGGAACTGAAAAATTACTGTTGCCTAGTATCTTAGTGCAGAGGTTGCAAAAATCACCAAGGCTATGGTTGAGATGGCAAACAACTTTAACCAGGATGTGGATGAGAATGACAATGAGGAACTCCTAGAGGTGGTTCCTGAAGAATTGTCTAATTAAGAGTAGTTGGAACTGGAAAAGGAATGTATAGATGAAGAAGAGGAAAGAGAAAAGGAAATTGCAGGAGAACAAGAAAAAAATTCCCAATGCAGGATTTAGAAGAAGCTTTTGAAGACCTCATCAAGCTTCTTAAAAAGTTTGAAAACCTGAACTCTAACACCAAAAGGTTTTCATTAATAGAAAGGAATGTTTATCGTACATTATCTGCTTACAAGCAAATCTATGAGAAAAAAAGGAATAAACCAAGTAAACCATTGTGGACATATTTCTGAAAAGAGTGAGACCTCAAGAAGAGACTCAGGCAGGTCATTCAGGAAGTAGTCCAGAAGAAGGAATTGTTATCATAGGAGAATACAACTCCATCCATGTGCCCCTGAAGACCTTCCAGGGGGACAAGATATGGAGGTAGAAGACAGTGATATTGATGATCCTGACCCTGTTTAGGCCTAGGCTAATGTATACGCTTGTGTCTTAAGTTTCAATAAAAAATGTATACATGTTAAAAGTAAAAAAATTAAAAATGGAAAAACCAGAATAAGAATATAAAATATTTTTGTACAACTGCACAATGTGTTTGTGTTTTAAGCAAAGTTATTACAAGAATTAAAAAATTAAAATTTAAAAGTTTATATGGTAAAGTAAAAATGATACAGTAAACTAAGGTTAATTTATTATTACTAGAAAAACATTTTTTTGGTAAATTTAGAGTACTCTAAGTTTAAAGTGTATATCTACAATAATGTAGCATTTTTAAATCTTAAAGATGTGTCATTTTCATGTATATGAGCTATATATTTTTGTTTTATTTACATATAATAACTTAAAAGAATACATGTACTTCATGCTTCTTTAAAGGTTTACTTGTATATATTTAAAATTGTAGGGGGGGAGCTCTGAGGTGATGGATATATTAATCAGCTTGATTGTGGTGATCTTTCACCATATTATGTATATAAAAAATCAAGTTGTACACCTTAAATATATACAATTTCTATTGGTCAATTATACCCCAATAATTGAGAGAAAAGGAGCATTTAGGATATATCATTACTTAGATTTGTAAGAACAAGGCAGTTAAAAAAACTATGATTTTTATATTTATCAAGCCTAAATGAGTATAGGAAATGTATTGGGACTTTTGGGTTGTAACTGACAAATCTTAAGCTAGTTTAAGCAAAAAAAGGGGGTGAGGATTTATTAGATGACTAAACCATGGAAAAGCAAGGACTAGAACTAGTTTCTAGATTTTTCTGAATCTAGAGAAGAAAATATCATCTAGAACTGTTCTCTCCCATTCCATTTTTCCCTTTGGGTTTCATTCTCTTTTGGTTGCTGACAATTCTGGGATCAAGCTTACTTTATTAACCACTAGAGGCCCAGTGCATGGATTGGTGAACTGGTGGGGTCCCTTGGCCAGCCTCCGGGAATTGGGCTGAAATCGGCAGTCCAACATCCCCCAAGGGGTCCTGGATTGCGAGAGGGTGCAGGCCAGGCCGAGGGACCCCACTGGCGCATGAATCAGTGCACCAGGCCTCTGGTATGCATATAAGATCTTTGGTTAATCTCATCCCACTCTCCCCCCTCCCACCTCCCTTCTGAGATTCATCAGTCTGTTCCATGTTTCCATGCCTGTGCGTTGAGCGTCTGCCCCCCTGGTGGTCAGTGTGCATCATAGCTACTGGTTGAACAGTTGCTTAGGCTTTTATATGTATAGATGGGAGAAGAAATCCCCTCCTTCCACCTCTAATCCCCAGCTAAGATTATGTATGCCCACTGTATTGAGGAGAAGATGGTAAAATTTTTGTCTTGGTCGGATGACAAGCCCACCCATGGCTAGGGGAAATGAGATACCACAATAGCAGCCCCATCAGAACCATAGAAATGTTGGAGGGATAAGCAGTTCTCTCAAGAAGTGAGTGAGGTAGTATAAAAGAGAGCTAGGTAAGTTATAAGGAATATTTTTATGTTTCTTTTGAAAGCTACAAAAATAGTTTCCATTATTCTCTATTGATTTCTGAGGAAAATAAAGTAAGTATTAATAGAAATATGTTGTTTGTAAGCAAGAAGTGTTATTCTTGTTTCAGTGCCTATGTGGATTTCCCTCCCTTCCTCCCTTTTCTTCTATATAATCTTTGTTAACTTTTTAGTATTGTACTGTGAAAATGCCTTTAAGGCTTATCAAAGTACTTTTAAAAAAATTATGTTATTTGCTGACTTCTGTTTCATTGCTTGCTAGCTTTTTTACTACTGACCATGAAAGGAATAATGTATTAAGCAGAAGCAAATCTTATTTAAGATGGACACTGCTAGACAAAAGAAAGTAAATTATCCTACTGGTTTGTCAAATAATAATGTTTCTTAAAAAGAAAAGTTTCTGCATTATTTGAACTTACCTTAACAGAAAAGTTAATTGTATTTTAAATACCAGAAGAAAAATTGGTAAATAGCAAGATGGGGGTCTTAAAAGAGTAAGTCTGCAATTCTATTTAAATAAATATATAAGCCAGAAAATTCTTCTAATAATTATTCCATAGTTATTCATTCAGTCAGTCTGTAAATCTCTGAGCTTGGTTTTAGGAATAAAATAGAAAATAAGATAGTTAAGTCCTTGTTATCAGAGATTTTACAGAACTGAAAGATAGTGAAAAGACACATTGTTATGTAATTGTAATCATGAAAGGATTACATGGTATGATGAGAAAGTATAACAGGGCACTTGACTGTCTGGGAAGCCAGGGAAAATTTGAGCTGAGCTCTGAAGGAATGATAGCAATAAATTAGATGAAAGAGCGTAAGAGCCTCCCAGGGATGGAAAACAGAAGGTTCAAAGTGCCTGGACAAGATGTCAGGATATTAATAGATTTCATCATAATTCATATCTATTTGTAGAATTCTTGTTTATGATATATGTCATGTATTATTAATTTATAAATCACTTGTATTAAACATTTATATATGAGCTAAAGGATTAACTTAATATCTGTAATATTCTGTTATATGTTACTAGAGGCCCGGTGCACAAAAATTTGTGCACTCGGGGCGGTGGGGAGGGGGGTCCCCCAGCCTGGCCTGTGCCCTCTCGCAGTCTGGGACCCCTCGGGAGATAATGACCTGCTGGCT